CCCCAAAACCCCAAAACCCCTCAAGATAAAATAGAGCTTAATTCAAAAAATAAAGTTAAATTATTATCAAATTAATGTTAATATCACACATCTCCTACTTTTAGTATTAAATCAAAAGTTTGGTAGCATTTCATAAAATCTCATAATTACCTTTTTATAAAGTCCCTTTTTATACCATTTTAGTTAATACTTCATCAAAAGATTTACACATTTTAGATGGCCCGCTTATAAAAATACGTTGTATATCCTTGAATTATGATAATTCATTTTAAATCTTTTCTGAAGTCCAAAAGTTTTTCAAATCTTTCACTTACTTCAATCTTATAGAAAAATTGTCTTTTTTCATTTGCTGATTAATCCTCATTAGTCCATTGCATAACTCTAAACCAGGTAAACTTTTCTTTTTTGCAACACAGACAACCAAATGTATTTTGAATTCAACAAAACTTAACTGTTTGCTTTCTTCTTTATCTAGCAGACCAAGATTTTTCCTGATTAAATGTGCTATTAAGTCTAAGAATCCAATAAAGCCTATCTAATCTGTATAAACTAAATGCATTCCTTGATATTAGAGTTCTAGACCCTTTCCTAATGGCCCTCTTATGATATATTTATCTCCAATAGTCCGTTTATGTATAATATTAGATAGACCTTGTTTGTTCGATTAGGCTGTGACTGTTAATGCCACCCTATTGCTTGAACAATCAAGTCTTGATTGACTTTCAAGATAACTTCTAATAAGCCTGATGTACTGCTCATAGATTTTAGGTGTCAAGCAATTACAAATATAATACAGTCTCTTCTAGTCTGGCTTCTTCTTATTGAACACGAGAAAATGCTTTCCAAAATAGCCTATATTCGAGTAGTAATTTTAGAGTCCTGGTTTTAACTCTTTACCTTGAAAAACAAATGTTTTCGTGTTTTTTGCAATTTACTGAGATGTATATATTAGTTCAACTGGATATTCCTCAGAGTAATTGTTTTCTAGTCTGCCTATTGCCATCTGATTTGCTAATTACCATCCAAGGCTTGAGTGAGTATTTTTTTATTCTAGGTTATTCATATTTGTAAATTGAAACGATCCATAGAAGAATTTACTAATATCTCTTCCAACATTCCATTTCAAGACATTTTTACCTCCTGGATGATTGTCAAGAAAACTTTCAACATCGATAATTTTATCATCTAAGATAACGAGTTATCTTCCAAGAGATACCAATTGGTTGAATTGATAAAGACTAATGACCTTGCTTTTCTTTTTTAATTCACTCTTTTTAGATCTTAAATGTAACTAATGATAAGTCTCAAAAGCTATCCAAAGAAACCCAAAAAAGGCAATATGGATATAACCTAAAGGTGAAGGTCTATCTAAGAAGTATTAGGAGTATTTAAGAACACCAAGTACAATCTGTATTTATGCAAAGACCAAAAATGTATAACCGAATATTTTGTGTATCTGGTAGATTCTAACTCTTTTAAAGATTCTTAATCTCATTATTACACCTGTCAAGCATATGAATACTATAGAAGCAATTATAGTATATCCAATTTTAGCATGGGGATGCTCTCCAATTACCCATTGGTTTTCCTTTGCTGCTAAGATTCCCAAGCTCAGAGTGCATACCAGATTAAGAATTCCTGTGATCATATGAATTTAGATTCCATAGGACATAGCTTTTAAATATCTAGTGGTAGTCAGTTAAATCATTGCTAATGGTCCCCAAGTAAGCCATAGAATCCAACCGTGAATCCTAAAGAAAGCTCCCTCATCATAGTCAGCCCCAAAAATTACATTAGTAATATTTCCTTCTGTCAAATTCCCAATACTTGCTGGTGTATTTGCTGAGTTATTAGGTTCAGGATAATTGAGAAACATTGTAAAAGGTCCTTTACTTGTATGTTTCTGAAGATTAGCAGTATTTACATTACAAGAATTAATCATATTCATAGGCTCACCCTACATATTGATTTGATGAAAAGGGAAGAAATAGATTAATAACTTACAACTATGACATTAAAGTCTTAAGCAGAATCTCCTGTATCTAAGTCTCTGTCAATTTAAAATACTACATGAGTATCATTGGTGATAAAACCGTAAACAATATTTTAAACATCATCAGTACTCGGCCTGCCATGCCTTGTTGACCAAAGATCATATGCAGTACTTTCATTTCCTCTCGCTTAAGCTAAAATCATATCTGTATTAACCATCTAACTCCCAAAGCCAACTGCATAAAAATTATTTTGAGGTACCGTCATTATCAATCTTAAGGTCTTATTGTTGATTAAAAAAGCGATTAGCTGATTATTTCCATAATTCCAATAAAATGGCTAGGAGGATATTCCTTGAAAACTAAGTATAAGCTAGAAAAATATGATAGCTGTTGATATATTCCAATTCTTTGTATTCATTCTTATTAATCTCAAAAACATTAATTTATGCTTACTAATATTACATGATATTGCTTGATGGGGTTTTGGGGTTTTGGGG